TTCTCCCTAAAAGATAAAACACAACATGATTTTTCTTGTTCAAAAACCGAATCTGAATGAACTAGCTAGCCTCGTAGCATTAGCATTAGCTTTTCGGGACTGAGCTTATTTACAGCAGATAACAAGGTTAAATACACACATCTGTGGCAGATCTAACTTATGTCTGTGTTTTATCATAACAGTCGTGTTCATAACTCAACAGTAAAGTATAGCAGTACTTACTATAGACATAACTTCACAGTAAAGTATAGCAGTGCTTACCATAATGTTAGCTCCAGCAGGTCCGAGTTGTTGTTTACATGTTAATGCCGAACGGAGTTCTGCGCATGCGCGGCCGTGACTCGGCAAAAAGAAGGCAACGAAGCATACATCAGATGCATCCTTCATATCTGCTCCAAAAGTGGCCGTTTCCATAGAGACGAAGTCATGATGCCTACGCTTGGCGAGCTCGCCAAGTGGTTTTGGACACCCCTGCAATAGCCGTCGCTTGCAGAAGTGACGTCACGATGCCTACATATCCACCCTACGCGGCCCGATGCCTAGCGTTTTGGACACAGCTTTTGTGTGGAAACTTCAGATTGTGATCATATTGTTATGAGCTTTCAGAAAACGTTGAAAAGCACCATTTCCCATTACATTGGAACTGAAGTTAATATTTCATCTAGCACCCGGCCTTTCAAGAGTAATTCATTACATTTGTCTAAAACTAGTAAAAACATTTTTGTTCTTGTTCAAATGTGCGTAGGAGCAGCGGTGTCATCAGGGCAGAGAGCAGCATAAAAGGGGTGGCCAGAAGGCGGACTGGACAGGAGGGGATCAGGGAGCAGGTGGTGACTCTGGAGTGGGGGTGGAGAGGGGCGTGGCCTCTGAGATTAGACAAAATCTGTTTTATGGATCCACCAGAAAAAAATCTAAAGATATCGTACTTTTAAATAATCTAATAACCAGTCCACTGCTTGAGTAAACGAGTCCATGTGTTTGGAGGAGCATATTTCCTTATCCAAACTCATACTCAGAAGCTAATCAGTGAGGGGCTTGGTTAGTACCATGATAGCAGACACTTTCTTAAAGCAGCCCCAGGGCAGCTGTGGCTACAGGAATATTTAGTTTTAACCACAAACAGTTCTTTTAAAAAAAAAAAATTCAATTTCTTTCAGTTAGTCAGTATTAAGTAATGAAACTTATGACACTTTCAGCACAGTCAATGGAATAATCTTGCTACTTTTATTTTGAAACATCACTTTGAGACATCCACCCATTTTCTCCCCCTAATCCATTTCTGGGCTGGTGGGGGGGGGTTCACTGACCCTCCTGCTGGTGGTGAGTCCACAGGAGCTTTGATCTTCAAGCGGGGACTTCAGGCAAAGTAGGGTTATGTCTTGTCCAATGAAACAACGACAGCAGTCATCAGTGGGAGTCGTGAAGTAGGTCTCGTGGTGGGCTTGAACCCATGAACTTCAGGCCCAAAGGCCAATGCTCTACCAACTGAGCCACTGTCGCTAAAATTAATACAGTTCTCTTATAAACAGGCGTCACACTGATGCTGGGTCGGTGCGCGCAGGCCTTGTGACTGGTTCATTTATATGACTTAACGGTAGAGAAAATGTTTTTTCCATCAATAATTATGTTATAATTAAATTGTTTATTCGCATGTAGCCCGTGAACCCAAACGTTAAATACAGTTCTAACCCTAGTCCTGTGCATGGCCTGGGAGGAGAGTTCTTGAAAGACATCTCTTTGACAGCCTGGTATATGGGAACAGTGGAACATGAAGCAGGATCTTTAACTAGAAGTCAAATCACTCACATACAAGACCGGGTCCTGGTCTGGTCCATGCTTCATATTATGCAAATTCTCAGCATATGGCTTGGTTAGAGTCCCCGGTATATAAGAAGCGTGTGCGTATGTGTTTGTGTGTGTGTGTATAGGGTGGGGGTCAGTCAGTGCAGAGGAAGGGGCCTGCTGCATACTTGCCTTGTGGTTCAGGAGGTAGAAAGAGAGGGAGGAGGGGAGAGCTTTAGATAAGGGGCTGATACAAGGGGGCTTCTGGAAGTCTGCTGGGGTCCTGGGATTTGAATAACCAATCCTAATGAGCTGTTTAGTCTTTGAAACCATTCTTTACAACAGTCACAACGTACAATTTTAGCTTTAAATCTAAATTAGCAGAATGTCCACTAGATACGTTTTCACCATTTGCCTTTGAATGCTTATTTCCCATTTGACAACATAAAATGACAAAGAAATGATTAAAAAGATGATGTGGAATGGGGCAGAGACAACATGCATAGCTCTACCAGCAGCTATCAGAGCATGACATCAGAAGAGCCTGGGTCAGAGGAGCAAAGCTAACGGCACACTGGGATCTTTGTGCGGAGAAGTGGAACTGCACACATCATGAGAGCTCCAGGGTTTCCCTAAAACTTTGATTCTGCTTAAGGGAAAGGACCCAACCCTGACCCACGCACAAAAGTATGCGAGAAACACTATGAACTTAGAAGCATGGCTAACCACCTGTATTCATGAAGTTCATTCATGTCTGCACACAAATGTTTCTCTTGCTTTTGCTCCAAATGTGAGAATGTCACAATGAAAGATCGCTAAAGACATTTTCACAGTTCGAAAAATTCATCTGGGTTGACAAAGGTTAAAAAGAGACAATCCAGGCTTTAGATTCAGCTGAAGAACAATTAATCAATTTTGGTGAATGAAAATATGTTCACCTTTGGTTGAACTAAAATAAGATTATCTTCATTTTGAGACCTAGGGCTCAAAAATCTGGAATAAAATGATGCGGTGGATGGCATTAGAAGCATGTCTCTTATCTTTGGGCTCTTGCTTGTCTGTTTGTAGATGACAACAGGATATACAAAGGGTTAAAAATTATTATATATATATATATATATATATATATATATATATATATATATATATATATATATATATATATATATATATATATATATAAATAATCACACATTTAACCCTTATCAAACACAATGTCACTGTGAAATCCCTTCCAACTCTAAATGGAATCTTCTGACTCTGATTATTAGAAATCCGACTCGCTGAAGTTCACATTCCTTTGTCTTTTCCAGCTAACTTATTTCCAGTAATTCATTTGAAAATCACGTTAAGTGGAGCGAAAGTCAAGTGGTGCATAAACAAATCTATCAGGGTCAAACAAAGCCGACAAAGACAATCCACAGATTCTGTGTTCTAGCCCCCACTGATCATGAAACTGCTGTATTCTGACATGAAGGATTCAAAGCCAAAGTCTTCTGTGCTGTTAGATTCAGATTTACATATTGGGATGGATTTACTTTTATTTATCTAGAGATTTGTCAGAGATTTGAGGCAAAAGGTTGAGCCCTGAAATATTGTGAGAAACTACAAACAAAGAAATAAATACGTTCCACAAAAATGCGGAAGAGAGGTTGTTATACAGAAAGTCCCACAGAAGACTCAGGACACTATGAGAAGTGTCTGGGGAGAGGAAAGAATCAGAAGTTGGGTGATTTTGCATGCTTTTACCCTCAATTTTTCCTTTTACAAATATATCTGAATGTTCCCAACAATTGTAGAATCCATGTACTTTGTGTGCGTGTGATGAAGAGCGAAAATGGTGACATTTGTGTTCACGTTTTAGCCTCATCTGCTGAACTGAAACAAATAAACGACTTGGAGCAGCCTGGAGCGGTCTGAGTGGGTCATATGCTGCACTCCCTCAGCTGACTCCTACTCTGTCTGCTAAACACACTCTGAACTTAAGTGGTTTGTGTTGTTCGTACAAGGATCAGTCATGCTTTCCCCTCGAGGACAGTTAGATGTACAGCGTGGATGTGTGATCGTGGACAATGCACACGGTGTTCCAGGCACACGCACACACAGGCACACACACGAGGCTCTCAGTGAGACATGGAAAAGCAGGGGAAAGCTGGGAGAGTCTGGCCTCCATGAGGCTGGTGCCACTTTCAAGGGATAATGTGCATATAAAAGGTTTCATCTGGGCACAGGTGGCAAGTAACCAGTAGAGGAAGCAGAGTCTGCAGTCAGCGCTGTTTCCAACTGGTGTGGTGAACAGAGAGCGCACTACAAAAAGGCAACATTTTCAATTTACCGCCCAGTCTTCATTCTCACCAAAATGTAGAGATTTATGGATACAAGAGGTCTATAATTTTGTCCTATGAAGAGTGAATGGGCACATGAAAGTAGCTCAGAGTAGAGGAGCTGATTATCCCTCTTGGGAGAAGCAATTTGAGGGGCCACCTATGCCCAGAACAGTCTAGGTGTTTTGGGCATGTCTCACCAGGAGGAGACCCAGGGGGTGACCCAGGGCAGCTGGCCTGGGAACACTTTGGGATCCTCCCGGATGAACAGGAGAAAGTGTGAGTGTGGGTGTGACAGGGAACAGGACAGGGAAGGAGAAGGTTACAGATTTGGATACAATCTCATACAAAGCTAAATCTGCTCAACATCAAGTTCTGGAGCAGTCTAAACAAATCAGGACTTTGCTGAGCCTTAAAAATAAATGTCATTAGGTAGTATTCCATGTACAAGCACTATAATTGAAGGATGCAGCTTCTTCTTACTTTCAATTAGGGGAACAAGAAGGTCTGAGGATCAGTGGTTCACAAGGCATAGGCAGATCAGAGGTTTGCACCCGCTATTAGATATTCCATGTTACTTTAGGTAAGTTGATCAGAAATGTTATGTGAAACGGAAAGACCTAGGGATCGAGATGGATCCCTCGAACTTGATAGAGATAGAAGACTACCATAATCCAAAAAAGAAACCTCCAAAAATCAGAAACCCAAGCCTGGGTGCTGTATAGAAAGGATCATATTAAAAGGTTATTTATTCTTTTGTCAAGAACATTTAAACAATGTCACATTCAATATTCAGATATGTCTCTGAACGAAAGGCATAACGTGTCAAATTTAGGCTTAAGCCCCAACACCTGAAAAGGCCCAACTAAAGACAAATATGTCTCGTGTCCTGACCTTTTCGAACATTTTCTTGAGGCTGTCGAGCGGGACACTGGGCCTCTCCTCCTCTGGGACGCCTTCAGGTGCTGCTGCCTGGCTTTGGTCCATGTCTCCGGCTGTGTCCCAACACCCCTCCACGCGCACAATTGGTACGTCAGCCTTGGGTCCCGCGGAGAGGCTGAGCTCAGGCCGGTAAAGGGGATGGTCTGGGGAGCAGAGAGACTGCTGCTGCTGCTGAGCTTCTTCCCAGCGCTTCTTCAGAGAGCTCAGGTTTCCAGAACTCAACGTCAGAGGTTTTTCAGTCTGGGGAGGGAAAGAGAAGGGAGGTTTGTGAAGGAGATGGAGCAGACGTCTATGGTTTCATACATGGGATATTTCCCTACAACAACAAAATCAAAACAAGACGTAGTTAAAACAACCCAAAGAATCAAATTTTGTAATGTTGCTTCTAGCTCTAAGATTGTTAAACAGCACTGTGCCATGTTAAGGAAGTAAGTAAGCTTTATTTATATACCGCCTTTCACAGACCAGAGTCACAAAGCGGTTTACAATTGTTATTTTTTGGGCATTTTTCCTCTCACTCCACACAGAGATGGGAGCGGGGTCGCCGAACAGGAGGCGCATGCTGTTAGATGTGATGTGATGTTAGATGTTTACCATAAAAGCACACAAGAGTTTTCTACTTCTACCACTAAATATTGTGGACAATGAAATCATTTACAAGAGTGTTTTAAGTTTTGGGACAGGAAAAAACACTTTACTATAGTGCTTGCGAGATAAATGAGAAATAGTTGCAAACGGCATTCTTTCAGTGGGTTCTCAGTTCTGCCCAGGCTTCCTGTGACTCAAAAGAACTAGAATTATACATATTGTTCATGAAGTTAGAGTAAGGAACTTTTTAAACATATACAAATAAATTAAGTTTGTACCAACATAATGTCTTGTGAAAGTAAGTCACAAAAAAGACCACCTTCATCTTGTCAGACCACATGTCAGCTTTTGCATAATTAGGGGAAAAGGGCTTTCTTCTCATAATCTTAGCTTTAAATCTTATCTTGAAAAATAGATGCCATTTGATACTTAATAACTTAATAATGTGAAATCATACACACACTTTTTAAAAAAAAAAGGCAGATCCACAAGAACATAATCAGCAGACTTGTCATTGCGCATAAGAAGTTTGAAAACAAGCAGATGTTTGTTCTTGTGTCTGAACTTCCTGATATAGGGCATTTTCACACTGTAGAAACCTTTCATAGATCTTGTTATGTGTGAAGTGAACGTAATCAAAATAACCAACAGGAACCAGAAAGAACTCCTTTTGGTGACACATGTGCAACACTGACCTATCTAAAGCCAACGTTTCTACAGTATCAACAGAACTATAAAAGAACAGGGTGGTTCCTCAGGCTAAGTAGGAACTAGTCCAAACTTTCACCAGTTCCTTCTACAGGTGAAAGTTAGAGTATTGTTAAAAGCATATTTACTTAATGTTGATCATCATGGACTACAGCTTGTAAAATTAATTATTTTGAAAATGCACTATGAGTCATAAACAAACTTATAAGAGGCTCGGTAACTTATATCACTTAGTATGGACACTGGAAAAAAAACCTTGAAAGAAAAAAATATATAAAATAAGTTATCTGCCAATACAAGAAAATATGACTTATAAAGAAAACAAGAAAATACTAGCACCAAATGGCTTGATTCTGGTATAAAAAAAACACACTTAAGTATTATTTACCTTTTTTTTTTTTTTTTTAATGAGATTTTTTTCAAACTAATTTTATCTGAACAAGAAAAGTGTATGGAAATATTTAAAAAAAGCTACTTAATACAAGCATTCAAAACTCACTGCTCTGACTATTTAGCCTAATAAAATTATTATTTTAAAACTAGTAAAATAATCTTGCCTAACAAACTGAATTCAAGCTACAACAAAAACTTGCCATTAAAAAATAGGCATAATGTCATTTTTAGTAAATAAATCTTACCAAGATTAGTTTTTCAGTGTAATGAGTCTATTATATATTTGCTTCAGATTTGAAGTTTATTAAAGAAATAAATTAAAACAATATTCTAGTTTTCCGACGTTCACCACCGGTGTGTGAAAACGCCCATTGGTGTAGATGAAGCTAAAACAACTCCAGCTCTGTTTAAGATTAACAATGCTAAAAGGAGACCTCATACATTTCCTTTCACTTACGTTTGTTTCACTTGTTGAGCCAAACTACCTCCAATCCAGAAAAATGTATTTCTGGATTTTCAATTTTTTTTAAATTCAAGTCAATTTCATTCACATATGGTTTTTAGCAGTGCTCGCAGACTCAGCAGTGTCAGCACACACTGGTTTAGGCACTTTCCAACACGCTCTGAAATGCATGGGATTCTTCACTCCGAGGTTATAGCTGCAGGACATGGACTTTACCATGGCACATGCATGTTTTCTGCTTTTCAAATGGGTTAGGGTGTCAAACTATATTCACTAAAAAAATTACTTTTGGTTGAGCTAAAGAGATCTTTGTGAGGAGATAAAGTAATTTGTTCATGTTGCCATAGGATACATTACTGGTTTAAGACTAGTTACAAAAAAGGATTTATCAAGACATTGCAAAACCATTTTACTTCCAATAAGACAATTGAAATTTGTCAAATAAATGAATTATAGCATAAACTGTAACCTGTTAATTCAAAAAGCAAAACAAACACTACAATTAAGAACAAATGACTGAATTAAACTTTTTCTAATCATCTCTAGATATTGATTTTTGTATGCAGTGTGAGCAGAAGACAAGGCAAAGAGGTGAGGGCAGAGAGGAAACTGCGGTATGCAGGCCCAAACATGCAAAGGCTTGAGTGCAATGGTGTTACAGAAGTAATAAAACTGTAGTAGAATTGTAGTAGAATAGTAGTAGTAGAATAGTAGTAGTAGTAAAGTAAACCTTGTCGGACTTTGCAGAGCAGCGGTGGAGCAGGAGGATATGCAGCGGAGAGAAGAGTCCTGAAACCAGATGTGAGCAGTGAGGGAGGAGCCGCCCCCACCCCCAATGCAGAGAGAGAGAGAGAGAGAAGAGTGAGCAGTCCAGGAAATGAGGTGCAGCGGGCGAGCGACGGCAGGTCAGACTCAAGAGTCACAGAGTTTCCATTTGTCACAACTGAAGCATGCAAGACTGGAGAAAAAAAGGGTGCACGCAGTTGTAGGGCATCTCTTCCGACAAACTGACCATTTCTCCCTTTCCGACGCGTCAAGACTTTGTGACTTCATCAAAAACGCACCTGGATATAATTTTCTGCTGCATCCACAGATTTTTCACCACAAACCAGTCTTAGTCCTTTACTTCAGATAGAGAGCCAAGGAGAGCGTTGCATTTTCAAACAAATACATTCTGAGCATTTTGTAGTAAATTTGTGATTTTCAAAAGCATTTTTGCATGACTTCAAATCCAACTGACATTATTAAAACACTATTTTTGCCACTGACCAAAAACTCAAAATTCCCACAGCGCCTGTTCCTTTCAGACAGAGTGGGTTTCAGGCAGGTGTGTCAGAGCCATAGACTGTAAATATTAAACGGACGTTGTCACACCTATCTCCGCCATTCAAACTAATGTGCCACCCCTTTCGCCATCTGTGGGTAGTTTCGGAATGGCTGCACGAGCCCCTTTCATTTGACGAGGGCCTTCAAAATTCTACAGCGACTAAACTAGAGCGGTCCAAAAAAAAAAAAAAAAACACTCCCTTCAGCATTGACAGCATCTTGGGCCAAGAGCCAACTTTTGGACCATCCTGTAAACCCGTTTTCAAGAGGTAAGAAGATGCTATACATTAGCATTGAATAATTCTTATTTTGGGTACAGCCCCACTGGCCCGTGGTGGTATTGCAAGCATGTCAGCCCACGTCATTTTGGACATTTTTGAGCCAGGACCCGCCCCAACTGGTCAGAACCCTCCAACATAAACCCCAAACTGTTACACGTGGTTCAGGTGAAGGTGGTTTTAAAACTACACAAATCAAAAGAGGGACGATACTTTGCAGAACAACAAGTCACGGCACTGTGTTTAGCCGAGTGTAGCTCATGTCGTCACAGTTTGACTCTTTCCTTTCTAAAGTTGTTCTTTGCAAAAAAATTATATTTCTCCATGTGGACAATAAAATTGCCAGAGTCAATTTAGTCTATGTGCCTGTACGACAAACATGGCTGAGCTGTGGAAGATCTTCCTCCCTGTTCATGATTAAGTAGCTTCAGATTTTTCTTCTCGTCTCCTCAGCACAATATACAGTACTGTATATCATAACTGGATGTGATGCAGAGGGAAGAAGAGGGAAAAAGCACCTGACAAATATTCTGTGCAATCCACAAACTGAACATCCATACCATAGACTGTGTATATATCAACGGACGTAGTCACGCCTATCTCCGCCGTTCTAAATAATGGGCCAAAGATTGGGCTTTCATGGAGTGATTCAAAATGGCCGCGGGGGCCGGGAAATGTGAAAAAACCAAGCCCCGGCGATCCAAGATGGCGCCCTATTCAAATGAATGGTTGTACTCAGTGGCGCTTCGTGACGGCATGGGGGCTGAAAGATTAGCTGGAACTTGCAAAGATCTATGGGAAACTCGCCTGTATTTGGGCATCGTCTGGTCCTCCCGGTTCTGCGCAGTGGATGATCTCCCATAATGCGTTGCGCCAAACACGCGTGTGTGGGTCTCACACCAGGTCTCACGCACGTGCACAGAGGGGCTCGGCTGCGCTCTGACCAATCAGAGCAGTTCATCAGAGCGGGAGTTAGAGCAAGAGCCAGACGAGCAGAGTTTGTGGCACTAAAGTGTGGATTTAAACAAAACCGAAGGATTTAAGAAGAAAAAAAGTTCAGGATGACAAGGGACACTAAAATCCCCACAAAATCCGATCTTTATTAAAGCTGTAGGTTCTCTGTCAGCTGAGGTTGAGCTGTTTTAATATGCATTGAGTTCTATGGGGAAAATGTCTGGGTAGCCCGGTGAATTTAGTCCGGTTCAGTCTGCAGTACCGCGAGAATCCCCCGAGCACATGAGTTATTCGGCTACAAGCTAGTAATACCCTATCCAGTTATTATGATAGATCCATGGAAAAAACGCATCTGCGCATGCGTCAGCCGGTACCAGCCCCATTCATTTAAACGAGTGTCTTCAAAAATTCACAGCAACAAAACTAAACTGGTCCATAAAAATTCACTCCCCTCAGCATTGACACACATTCGGAACGGAGCTATGGGCCAAGAGCGAGAGCTAAGAAGATGCTATATGTTAGCATTGGCT